AGAATCCATTCCCCTAGCGGATGGAAGTGATAAATTTATCTCACGAATTATCTTGCATGAAGTCCTAAGAAATAAGTAACAGTAACTTTAAAACACCAACTTAGCATAAAGTTCTTGAAACCCTCATACAAATATGCACCTCTAGTCAAAGTAGCTGTATTATATTGGTTCACTTTCACCATGTCTCCATCCATTACCCATCTCTCTCAACTGTCCCATTTTCAAATTTTAGATTACATTTTTCTCAAGACAGAAATAAACCCTTTTAATGTTGTTGAGTCTACACAAATTCTAAATAAGAATACCTTCTCAACCTCACCTGAAAAAAAATGGGTTCCTCATTGAAGTAACAGTCTACTTGACTAATTAAATATAAAAACATTTCCATTTTACTATATGTGCAATGTGACTTATTCACTAATTTAAAAAATCCAATCCCATAGCAAAAACACTTTCTCTTTTTCATTCCTGATTATAGTACTACACCAAAATAAGAATCACTTCAAAAATAAATTTGTATCAATGATAGATTAGCTAAAATTCACTTTTTATTTAAATTCATACACCTTGAACAGTAATAAATTAAACAGTTTTATTATACTTTCAAGTTCGATTTATAAATTCCATCATCAATGGTCAATTCCATGAACACTCTTAAAAGCTATTTACACCAATTTTGTTAGAGAAATAAGGCATATTTTAAATGCCTTTAAATATGCACAAGACACCTGGCTCTTTCTCCACTAAAATATGACAAAAAGGATTTCTTTCCTGACATTTCAATATCATTTTATGAATAGCTAGCAGAATATAACTCCCTGCTTCCCAACTTTATGCCTTCCAATGCTTTAAACATAAGCCCACAAGTATGTTACCTAAGAATTTGGTGCTGTAAATATACTTGCTGATAGCAGAATGAAAACAGCCTTAAACGGAGGAAGGGATTAATGGTGGCAAGGTATTCCAAATAGATATTTTTTTCATTGCATTAGGATCAATCTCCATGGCTTCCAAGCAAATTTGTCACATGTAACTGCATTTATACTGAGGCATTAGACATGAATATAAGCTCTTTTTAAAGAACAAAATAGATGGTTGGAACAAGTTTCTTACTATAAATGGCAATTGAATGCACTTCAAAACTATATTCATACAACTGTGACACTCCTCTCCCCAAATTTTAGTCCAGGTGAATGCCAGACTTAGGACAAGAAAACTTCAATTCAGATATCTTCTTAGCAATGAACTCACTTCATGATTTTGATACATCTCTATGCCATAGCCTGTTTTACTTCAATCTCCAAGCAACACAATGCAATCTGTTTCTCTTGAAAGCAATACATTAACCACATACACCACAGTTTGCCAAACTTTGGTAGGATGATAATCCAATATGCTTTTTTATATACTGTTCCACTTGTATTAGCAATACAAAAGAGTCTGAGTTTGGCAAGGCAGCAGCAATGCACTGAAAAAAAGCTATTATTTCCGTTCTCATAGTTTTGCTCCATCTTAGATTAAGCAACCTATCTAGTATCTACAGAACGGGCCTTTTAGCTCATCCTATCCCTTAATTCTTGCTTGACAGCTGCTGTGTTTAGTCTTTGAAATAGAGATGTTTAATATGTAAATAGTGCATTATGTCACAGAAGGGATGTCCCATATTTGGCGATTTAACATGCCTGCAGTACACAGAAGATCAGAAAACCTTTTTTGAAAGCTCTGACTAAACGAACATCCTCCTTCATGTTCAGAATGTGAGCAGCACATGACAGTTACAATAGCTTAAGATACATGCTACAAGTAAGATAGCTGTGTTCCAGTCCCGTCCCCTCCTCCAATCACTTATATATACATCCAATCACATGCCCAGGTAATATATATTTGCTATTATTTTAATACATATAAATTACTCCTGAATTTATCTAAGCGACTGGAAGGAACAAATAATGTCTAATATAATTAAAAATTTGGATCAATGGCAATGATGCTTCTGCACTGTAACTCTAAAAGGAGTTATGCAAAGAACTTGTTATAATTTCTAACATAAATACTGACTGCTCAAGCTCAGAGAAGAGAAGCTGGCAATACTCTATATGTAGGCATATAATGCCATGCTTGCATAAAAAGCTGTCTAAAATTCAGGAAGTAAAAAGTATTTTTTTAATAACAAGCAACACAAATATATAAAAGGAATTAAAAAGATTTAAAATTGTTGATAACTTGATAAGGGTGCAGCCCTGGCATACTTTTACTAGGACAACAAATTTTAAAATTATGGATATATAAAAGAAATTTCCACTTTTATATGATAAAGATACTAAATTATGTGTTTCCAAGCAATTCAATATCAAAACAATACCTGATCCAAATTCAAAACTCTAATAAACTGCATAAAAAGGCAGTACCATCATTATTCTCATTTTGCCTATTATCTATCTCCTTATTTTCTTATGACTATAACTTTGTTGCTTATCACTACTGTTGTATGTACATTGAGAGCTTACGCACCGGAAAAAAATTCCTTATGTGTCTAATCACACTTGGCCAATAAAGAATTCTATTCTATTCTATTCTATTCTATTCTATTCTATTCTATTCTATTCCAGATTAAAATGCTGGATATTTTGAACTCAACAATCACATTTAGAGCTTTTGCTTTATTTTCACCAACAAAATGACTTAATTTACAAGAACATTTATGAAGCATATGTATTTGCAAATACAGTAGGTAACTTCCACCAGCAAAATTAAAATCTACCACAAAATCTACTGACACAAACCATGTAAAGTCATCTGGCTAAGCCTGAATTATAAAACTGCACAAAATACAAAATTGCCAAAGCAAGTTTTTAAAAAATGAAATTAAATTTGATTTGTTCCAATTATATCAAGGCTACTACCTACCTACGGATCATCTTTCTCTCTGTTTATAAATACACATATAATTAACTTAATTATTTCATTTTGAAAGAGGCAAGATAAATATTCATCACTTCCATCAGCTGACAGGTAAAAGCTAGTTTTAGTCCACTTATTCAGCTGCAGATCCAACAACAGTGACAGGACCATGCCGACGGAGGTAGCTTGTGAATTGCCTTGTTATTGAGATCATTGGGGGGGAGGGAGGATTAAATACAAGGCAGCATGTGACTTACATACAGTGTCTAATACCACAGCATCCCCGAGGCTATTAAAACAATAGCACAAGTGATACTTTATGCTAACCATTCTGGCCTTTCCTTACCCTCATCCAATCTATGTCAATTTTGGTAGCACACACGAAAACCAAAAGAAAGCAGTTTTGTTTGCCATCTGGATTATGACACCAAACACAATTCTTTATAGTCTAGCAGTATTAACAGATCTCTCACATCTGCATTAACTTCAAACATCCTTTCACTTCCTTTATAAAAAACATACACACATGTAGGCAGTATGCAGCCCACCCATTTGTTTTTCGTTATTGTTGATGATGCTTATGACATCCATTATTTAATTTTATATTATTTTTAATTACAAGTTGAGGTTGTTGCCATTGTCCAAAAAGTGAATCTGCCTTGGACATTCATATAGGTGACATGTGGCAGCAGAAAGCCATAGAAGAAAATATCTGTCAAAAGCACATCAGAGATAACAGACACTATTTGTGTGTGTGGGGGGGGGAGGATTTATTATTTAGCTGAAAAGGCAAGACTGCAGAGAGCAACCTCCTTCCCTGTCAAACCAACCTTTAGAAATTTCTAACATGCTCTTAAACTTTGTATATAAGCAAACCTACACGCCTTGGAAACCGCCCTCTCTACTCTGGCCTGGGCAGTGAAAATGGCATCTGAAAGTCAAGGTCAGCCATGTCACTTGACCAAGGGGCTGCCTTTAATTACAGTCCATGCAATAACAGACAAAATGGAACGGGGGTGGGGGTGGGGTTTGAGGGTGGGTGTTAACTCCTCTTTTACATTTACACCACAGTCTGCAGAAAATTATGATTAAAAATAAAAAGGCTACAGAATCAATTCCATCAAGCACCAGGAATAGCAGAAGAACTCTAAACTCTGCAGCAGGCATATTGGATTCCCAGGAGGCTTTGGTGCCCTTCAATGACCTATATAAAAAACTTGTATAAAAATTTGGGGAGGAAAAGCTACCAGATTTGGGTTTTGTCTCCATTTTACACATTGGTTCGATCAACTTTGAAATTTGAGAGAAAGGATTCTTCTGAGAAGTAAAGCTTATTTTTGTATGACTTAACGGCACTGTAGGACGACACTTTCTAGGTTCTTTCCAACCAAAGAACCAGAATAAGAACTAAGCAAGAGTAACAGGTGGACACAGATGGTTTACACTTCATAAGGAACTTACTTTATGATTGTGGTGGGATTGTACCCGTTTCCTGCAATAAATCTATGACTACTAAAGTGCACAGACATACACCAGGAACTTTTGACAGAAAACAAGAGCCAATCAAATCTACACTCATGAACATTCACTGCAAAGATAGGGATATCCATCTGTCCATAATATTTTATTTGTTTCCTAATACCATAAAACTATGATCTATGTTAAAACATAATGATAAAGTATGATATGTAATTATATTTGCTGTGAAGGCATTTTTGTAAAGTAAGTATAAAGGGAGGAAACAGTGAAACTTTTTAAAAAGCTGCAGATGGGGGGGAAAGCTTAGTTCTCTTCTGCATCCTCTTCTTTGGGTGAGCACAATTTGGCAACCCAATGTCAAAAAATGTGTAGAACATGAAAGATGTGAAAGAGAGCAGCTAGAAAATTATTCTATGATATGCCATGAGTTTTATGCTTCTATAGATAACTGAAAGAACTGGAGGTGTGCATACTTACTATAAATAGAAATAATGAAATTTTAATTCATGAACTGGTAAAATGAAATGTCAGAAAACATTTTTTACAAAACAACAAAATTTCAATGTGCAGCCTGTAAGCATGCCATTCCTGCCTCCCCTCCCCCCATCACTTTGATTTACCTGCTATATGTTCCTGCTTGGGACAAATTCCTCTAGATGACGTTGACAAACAATCGTCATCCTCAGGTGTGACCTGGATGCCAACCTCCACAGGATTGGAAGTTTTTCGCAGCTCGCTTGGCGAGGGCGAAGGGGGCTTATCCACAGCCTTCTCTAGGCAAAGAGTGCCATTGCATTGTTTCCGTTTGTGCTCAATAAAAATAAGAATATCCCCCAGAGGGAAGTTCATCTGACACTGGCCACAGGTAAGGAGGTCGTGGTCGCCTTCTGGAGCTCCCAAGGTACCATGATCTGGTTCATCATCTGTAAGAATGGCTTCAATAGGTTCGGCTGCAAAGAAGGAAACAAAGGAAATCAGGAATTCAAATACAGATTAAGAAATAAAAAGAATTGGGGAGGGAAAGTATGTTTGCAGAGTACAGCCCAAACTTAAAAAAAAAAAAAAAATCCCAAATATTGGGTAGCAGTACTAACACACTTCTAATCTAACATTGTGCTGAACAAAAAGAAAAGGGGGGGGAGGGGGGAGCATCCACAGAAGTATTTTACTTCATCAAGAGCCTTTCTTAAAACAAAATGCATTACACACCCCTATTTTAAAATGATTATATGTTTTATTATAGTATTAGTTTTAATAAGAAAAAATTAGGTCACTCCTGTCCCAAACTTAAGGAGTTTCTCCTTTATAGCATGTTGTCATGCTATAAGAAAACAAATTTATCAGCAATGCCAAGCAATTGTATCTAAAGGAAAACCAGCTATAATGCTAATAACTGAGAAGGTGAGAATTTCAGATTCTTTCATAGCTCAAAGAACAAGAGAGAGAGAGAAATCTGCTATTTACAAATGAGCAAGTTAAATAAAAATACAAATGTCTCAGAATTCTTACCTTTATTCAACTCCTCCAAAAGTAAACCTCAGAACTATCTATCTATAAATCCATGGATTTCCTTTCTTTTCACAAAATAATATTTACTTTCTCCCTGTTAGTGTCATATGTTGGAATGAATATGCTACTTTAGGGTACACTTATGCATACAAGTGTTTGGATATGCATACAAAAATATAAGCAAGCATAGTCACACAATTACGAAAAAGATTGCTTGTGTCCATCCGCCAGTTGGCACTCATTACCTGAACAGCCCGTGGTTTTTAAGTATGTTCCTATGTTCTGTGTCATACATATGCAGATGCACACAGAATTTCCTAGAAATATTCTCTAAAATGATCAAGCAAACAGAAAAACAAGATAAATCTGTAGTATTTTATTTATTTATCAAGTATTATTAAAAAAACAAGAACATCCAAACATTTAATTTACAAAATATAAAAATGTATCTTCAAACTACTGAAAATTTCCAGTTACAATTAAGATGCTACTGAACATCTAGGAAAATAAACCAAATTATTAGTCCTTTTCCCCATTTAGAGGCATTTACTCAGAATGTATTAGTAATGAGGGCCTTCATAAGGTATAAATATTAGTATAAACGTGACTGAATTCCAGCATTCATCACCAAATTCATTTCTTTACAGCACCTTTCTTAAGGTTGTCCAAGTTGATTAATTTGCTGAACAAGCTCCAGAAAGCTCCAATAAAATTCTGTTTATATAGGCAGTATACCAATAGGTATTTTAACGAGGTAGATATACAGCAATTAGCTTTTTCTCCCGCTATTATTTTCTATTAAAGTATTTTTGCAGAAAATGTTCATGATTTCAGTCTTCCACAGAGATTGAAAGAGAGGGAGAAGAAAAATTCTTCTTGTGATGTAATTTCATTACAACCGTACAGTACTTTCACTTATAAACAAACATGAAATAGCATTCTTGCAAAATATCAAAAGCTACTAGTTAAGAAAAAAGTGAAAGGACACAATACCTCAACAGTTAATCAGCTTGACCTTCTTTAGTATATGGCCAATTTCACATTTAATGAATTTAAAGCCACAGAGAATCAAAAAATAGATTTTAATTTGACTGAGTCATATTGGAAGAGATTTGGTATTTTTTAAAAATATACTCAGATTAAATTTGTTTCCGAATTAAGGGGATCTTAAGAAATTCCCATATGTGCAATGGAACATAATTTTAGGATGTCATAGCTCCTTCTAAACAACAATTCTGCAAGTCTCTGCTTTCACATTATTTTTGTCTCCCAAGTTTACTCCTAAATGTAGAGTAATAATGATTATAGAAAAATGAACATTATATTTACATTAAAATATCTTCAGTCCATAGGTTCCACTTAAGCTCTCTTGACCAAAAATAATGCAGTAATACCAGTTAGTGATTAATAGTCAAGGGGGAAATTGGGACTATGAGTGATTTTACAGTATCTACTTTCTTCTACTATTTTTGGGTGAGCAAATATCTAGTTCTCTCTAACAAAATGGCAGGCAACAAATACAAGAACGAATTGTTTCAGCACATTCTATCCTGAAAATATTTAAATATTGGAAATATTTTTCCATGCAAGCTTCAAAGCCCAATCCAAGAAGCAAAGTATTTTCTATAAAACAGGAAGTTCTAAGGAGTAATTAGTCAAACTATAAGACTACGGCCTAAAACAATTGTGAAATCAGTAATTTGGTTTAGCAAGAAAACACAAAACATGTGTTTCCTAAGCAGTTAAAATTTATACTAAATAACGGCTGGGGGAAATGATTTCTTATAAGGTTGGCTGTGAATTGATCTTGATTTTCACTAAATAATAGCATATCAAGTAAAACTAAAAAGTATTGTTGATTGCACCTTAGCAATTCATCCAATTAATTTTATAAGAAGCAAGGTTCTTAAGAAAAAGATATTAAAATGTACAGATTTAAAACCCATACCTTCCATATGTTTATGCATTTAATATAAATGATTGCTAATCAAGACTAATGATAAGATAATAAATGAGCAAGAGCTAGCACGCTAAGTTTATTTAAAAAACGGTTTCCTAAAATACAGAATGCAGGGCAAAAGTGTACTGCTGTTATTAAAAGTATGTTTGCAATTCAAAGAGATAATGTATTATCATCCTTGCTGTTGATTATTTGCATGGTATGCTTTGTTTCTAATTCGTTGGCCATCACTTTTTTGTATTTTATCTGATATTTTTGTTTAAATTAATACAACATTAATGAAAAAAAGGGGATTGTATTTTCTCTTTTAAAGGCCAACCTAAAAGGAAGGTAGAGTTTTTAATTAAAAAACAAAACACTAGTGCCACAGATTTTCACTTCTTTACAAAGAATAAGAGGAAAAAGAAAGAACACAGAAGCAGAAATGCCAAAGGAGGCATTTTCCAGATTATAGTAGAAAACATGTCTTTCATTTTGAAATATGAATTAGGAATGAACAAGCAATCAAACGTATAAAAATAATACAAAGCAATTAAAACATATATTTCTCCCTACCCATCCTGCAAAATAGTTAAAACTGAAACAACAGCTCAGTTTCAACTTTGCATTCAAGTGGATTAGTTTAACAGAAACTGAAGGAGAGAAGGGAATGATGTTAAAAAAGAGAAGAAAGAAAGGAAAGAAGAAATTTTAATAGTGTTTAGGTGAATGAACATCTGGATGGATGTAAACTTGGGAAGGAGCACAAAACACAATTGGGGGGGATATAGGTTAGCCTCAGAAACCTCATCTAGTAATACTTGCAAGGGAGCCAAAATATTTGCTTGCCTTTTCAGCCAGCTGTTCTCCTAGAGATTTACTTTAAAAACAAAATAAACCAATTGATTTTCAAAAACAACAATAAGCTTTCTAATAGGACTGAGACTGAATGAAAACAGCCCTCAAAGCCACCCAAACAAAAGCAGATGCTCTGCAAGTCAAGCCAAAGCACCCAAAAGTCTTTGGAAAGAAATTTAATACCCTTGAATTTTTGTAGCATTTCTTTATCAGAAAAATTAGGTGCCATCTAAGAAATAGTATTTTTAAATGATAAGAGGAGATGCCTTTCTCAGTTTATTTTGTGTTGTGTGGATAAATAAATAATCAAATACTATGTTGTAGTGGCTTGATCATGTAATAATTATTTTAATGCTGTTTTTTCAAACAGAACTATTGCTGTGGGGGGGAGGGGAATAACAAGATGAAAAGCAGTAACTGTAAATGTTCTATATGGGAGGGAATCTGGTAAAAGAATAATTTGAATGTTACAGTCCTTTCCCAAAGATTAACACAGGAAATAAAATTAAAAGCAAAAAAGGAGGAGCTGAATTACAGAGGAACTGTGGGAGATAAAGAAGGGAGAATATCTGAACACATACACACAGCATATACATAAATACACAGAACTCTCACCCCACCTTCCTATGCCAAATGAAAAATATAGAAAATTAAAAGATGTGTGAGCAAAAGGATCAGGTTCAAGTTCACTAAGCTTTCTTGATCTCATTCTGCCTCCTAGTGGCTAAAATTCACATTTAAATTAAAAAAATTATACAGAAACGAAAAAAAAAAGAATTGTTTTAACCCAACTCACATAAATTGCCCTCTCTGCTATAATCTCATTATCCCCCATTCTCTCATTTTGCTCCCCAAGACAAGGGAAAGAAGACATAAAAAATAAACTTCTATAGGAATTCTACAGATTCCTTGTTACACACCACAAATCTCTATTTAAACAAAAACTTACACTTCTCTGTATATTTATTTTGGGGGCTAATTTTCAAGTATTCTGCAGGTGAATGTGGAGCAGAGACTGAAATATAGTTACAAATCTTGTCTTTACATTGGAAAAAAGGGCATCTTTTCCCCCAAACAGCCACTTCACCTTCCCCACCCCCTACCTCTCATTTCAGATAAGAGTCAAATTAGGTTATCAGTTTGGCTGAAGGAAGGGAGGGAGAATGAATCTTGCAACGTGTTTGGAAGGTGATAGCAGCATGTTCAAAAGTGTGTCAGTTATGTTGCAATAAACATAAGGTTTTGCATTTCAAATAACAAAAATAATTGTAGGAATGGACAGAAAAGCAATGTGCAAGGTATTTATTTGGAAAGACAATTATAATCCATGAAATTGAGGGACAGCGATGTTTCATTTGTTGGCTATTTTAATTAAGCATTCGTGTTGCTAAACGATATTATTTTACATTACAATGCAAGCAGCGATTATTGGGAGACAGGACCACTGAAGGCTAAAATGCAAAGTTTTTGTGCAAAACCAAAAGAAAAACCAATCTTGAAAATTAAAGGGGAAAATAGTAACAAAACACCAAAGGAAGACCACTTATTTTGCAAATATAACTTATACATTTAATGTCTTCCTTCTCTCCCCCCCCTCGGACTTTGCCCGCCCGCCTTCAACCATCTCAAGTCCAGACCAGACTTCCCTTTTGTGTTTGCAAGCAAGCACGGCTTTGCTCGAGCTTTTGTACACCGCATGCCTGGAAGGCTGAAAGACGAAACCCGAGCCATTGCAAAAATCCCTATTTTGTTTAAATAAAAAAGGAAATACAACCTTTACATCAAAATGCAATTACTGAGGTGGAAGTTCTAATTAATTGTTTAGGGGAGACTGATGCTCGCTTTCTTGTGATCAGAGCTGACACGCTGCACCTAACCTTGTATTTATTTTTACAATATCTACAAATCCTTGCATGTGTGCATGTATATATATTGTACGAATTTCTTCTCCTTCCAATACGTTTTTCTCCTAGCCTGTTTTGCTGGCAGCGACTCCGCAGCACACGCGGCGCTTGTAAACAGTCAGACACGAGATTTTTCCCAATCAAAATCCACTTCCACTTTTTTTTTTTTTTGAAAATCTTCCAAAAAATAGTACGAGAGAAAGGAGGGGAATTCCACACGCATGCATATCCACACACTCCGATCCTGCTTACATTTTTAGCTGTACGCAAGCTAACCCAAGTTTCTGCAAAGCAAGAGTTTGGGGGCTTAACGACGGAAAGAGAAAAGGAGGGGGTAAAATGAGGCTGGTAAGAGTAGGCAGTTGACGGGGGGAGGGGAGAAAAGCTAATCGTGGCGGCGCAAGAAGAGAAAAGCAGCCGATCTCCGGCCAAAAACAGACACCACGTCTGTCCCCTTCCTTGCCCTTTCCCGGTGCGGAGTTGGAGAGGAGAGAGAGAGAAAGAAAAAGGAGCGGGACATGCAGAAAAGGGTGGGGGTAGGCGATCTCTTACCGCCACTACCCCTATCTTGATGGTGGAGACAAAAGAAATGGTCCCCCCTTTCACCCCCATCTAAAAAAGGGGGGGAGATTTGCAAGGAATGAGGAAAGCGGATTTGAAAAAAAGGGAGAGTCGTCACACGACAAGGCGCTCGGAGAGCACCTAATCTGTCCGCGTGAAAATAAAAGAAAGTGCACGGATTCAACCACACACACACACACACACACACACACATGTACCGCTTTCTTCCGTACTTTCACCCCCTCCTTTAAGCCGCCTGCCTCTTCTCTGTCCTTTGCACACACAAAAAAATGTGTATCTTTGCGTGCTTTCTTAAGTTGCAATTCATTTGTAAGCTGCAGGCGCGCGCACCCAGACACGCTCTCTTCCGGCAAAATATCTATAGAAGAATCAATGGGGGGGGAGGAGAGACAAATGGAACTTTGAGCGAGAGAGCAAGCGGCCGTAAGCGCCGAAGAACAGAAGGACCTTCTCTGAAAAGTACTGAAGGTGCTAGCGATGCAAAAGGAGAGGGAGGGGCAAGGGGCCTGAGTTTTAAGGTGAGTTGCTTTTTTGTCTTCCAATGCATTAAAAAGACGCATGCACAAACAAAGATTGAAATGTGCAAAATATAAAAAAAAAATAGTTGAATTATGATTGTTAGTTTGCAAGCGAGTGTGCTCAAAGGTAAAAGGCAGAGCGGCAAGGTGGTTTACTTACGCGAAAATTCCCGTTTGCTTAAGTGCTGGGGTTTCCCTTGCTTGCGGCGAGACATTGTGGTGTTGGTTGCTCGGGCGGGCGCGCACGGAGCTCTCTCGCTCGGATCACATCGGGAAGCGCCGGGTGAGCAAGGAAGGAGACTCCAGAGAAAATACCTTCATCAATGTCTTTTGACATCCAAAATAAATTAGAAATAATACAAAGATGGCGCGGGGAAGATGAATTGTGGGATAGCAGTCATGGCTTTTTCTTTTTCTTTTTTTCCTTTCTGTGCAAGAGAGGGAGAAACAGACAGGGGGAAAAAAGAAGAGAGAGAGAGAGAGAGAGAGATGAAAAAAATGGCAAAAGCCCCCCTGAGCTGCAAGTTCAAGTGCGGACGTGACGTCCCTACGAACTTGAACGTCAAGCGGCTGGATGGACAGAGACATACAAAACATGGGCAGGGCGAAACTGGAGGAAAGGGGAGGAGGGAAGCTGTGCGCCACGCCAATGGACAGTCATCGGGGGCTGGACATGATCAAGCAAAAGAGTGAGGGGGGAGCCGTAGCAGGGCAAGCCAATGGACAGTGGTGGGGGGAGAAGAGGGGGTTACCCTCCTAGGCACCAAGCACACGCTGCTGCTCCTCCGGAGGGAGGCGGAGTGGTAAAAGACGCGGGGAGGGAGAGGCGTGCGTAAAGGCGCGCAACAGCCCAGGAGTGACCGCAGAAAAAGGAAAGGCATGCTGGAGGAGCAAGAAGACTTGATACGAAAGAAAGTGTTCTGTAAGCCTTTAAAAAAATCAATTAGAGCCAGGAGGGAAATTTAAAGAGAAGGGAGGGGCGAGCAGAGAGAAAGGAAGAGACCGTAAAATGTAACAAGAAGTCAAATACCACTGCAAATGAGTGTTCTTATCTTCATAGAGTTGCTAGCAAATTGACGCACAATTAAAAAGCAAAGCAGCGGTAAAGAACAGACAAAAGTGAGAACATAACTACCTCACCTTTTAAGAGGTGAACACTTAAAAATTATACAAGTAGGATCAGGCCCAGAGGTTGTGCCATTATTCTCCGGACAAGCAATTACCTCGGAAGGAGCAGGTATAAAAACTATGGACAACGCTGATTATATGTCTGCTTTTAGCAACAGAGGTACACTGCCTCGAATCATGGAAGCTCTATTTGAATTAATATGGTTTACTATAGCGAAGAATAGAAGCTGGTACATTTTTTTTAAGATTAAAAACATCGTAATTCCTAAATGTTCTGTGGATTAAGACTCCCTTTTCCCCACTTGGTTGGAATCCTCGCTCCGTAAAACATACTAGTATATAACCAGAAAAATATGTAAAGATTCAACTTTATCAATTATTTGAATAGCCCTCGTTGAATTCAGTGACACTTACTCTTGAGCAAACAGGGGCACACTCGGGTTGTAAGAATGTAATCCATTGTAAATAAATACAACTCTGTTATTAAGAGAATCTAAGGGATTTTTCATTAGACGCAGTGGAACTTGCTTCCAAAGAGATTGCATAGGATCGCAGAACTCATTTTGCCAATATGCTTGAGACCCTGGTCCTTTACAATTAATCTAAGCAAGCTGAAGGGGAGGATTGTATAACAAGCTATTAAACGCGCTGATCTTGTCTGTTAGAAAAGCTGGAACTGGGGTCAGAGAACGGAGGTTCACCTGTTGCTTTGCTGGGGGGGGGTGTCCTCCGACGAAACCTAGACGGTAGCTTTGGATACGGTGGCAGGTCGTTATTATTAAGTTTGTGAAAAAATAAGTTATAATAAGGTTTGTGAAATAAGTAATCGGAAGCCTTTCACTCACCCCCCTAACTGCACTGTCCAAAATATTTTCGGAATAAATTTAAAAGTGGGACATTTTTTGAAAAAAAAAGAAGACCCCGTCAAAAACAAAGGGAATGTTTGTGATTATATCTATAATATCCTGAAGGGGGAACAAACACCGGGGGAGGGGGAGGAGAGAGAGAGAATTAATGGTTTGTTAAGGTAGGGGACCTATTACTGACCATGAAGGTCCTGGATTGGAGCTGGAAGGGGAAAAAACATTTATCTCCAACTCCAGGTCACAATATACAAGAGAAGGAAAGTCTAGAAAAAGGCTCCCAAGTAAAAACACCCCTTCATTTTAAGAAAAGTGAGAAGAATTATCCCCACAAGTAGTGAAAGGGAAGGAAAGTATAGGAAAAGATTCATTGAGTTTTCTCCGTGGTCAAAAAGGCCAAATAAGAATTCTGCGACGGTCTGACACATTTAGTCCCATTGAGCTGATTGAGACTCCTTCTTAGGTAATTGGCGATAGAAGGGCATACCCTGGGCTTGAGGAGGGCGGGAGGGGAGGGGAGGGGAGGAAGAAGCAGCAGCAGCAGACAAGGGAACGATCACCAGCAATTAAAAACGACCACCGCCCTAATGTACGTGTGAGAAAGAGTTCCTTTTTACAGCCAAGAGGGGGAAAGAGCAGAAAAATCCCGCGCTGGGGAAAATGAACTTTCTGCTGTTCACCTTCCAACCACAAAAAGAAAGAAAGCCGCACAGAGAAGAGAAGGCTAAGCACGGTGGTGGAGGGTGGATCGGTTGAAGAGCTGAGGCGAAGGAACGGGAGGCGGGTTGGGAGACGCGAAGGGGCGAGAAGGGTTTGGCGCCAGGCTTGGGCGACGCGAGCGGAGCGGAGCGAGGTGCGGCGGCGGCCCCGTGCGTCCTTGCGGTGGGGGAGGGGCGTCTCTCGCGCGCGGGCCTTTCCCAGACTCGGCGAAGTCCGCGCGGGCAGAAGGTCCTTTCCAACGCTTCTTTCTCTCTGCCCCCTTCGCAGAGAGCGAGTACCTTTCAAACCATTCCGTTGAAGGCAATGAAAGCCAACAAAGAGAAGTGCGAAGGTGAAGCCAACGGCTTGATGTGACTCGTGCGATTATCGATTGTGTTGTGGCTTTGTTTTGCTTTTTTTTTTTTTAACGGTCTTGAATGAGAGGGCTGCCGGGGGTGGGGGGATCGATCCAGCCATTTCAACTTTGGAGGGAGCCTGCTGCCACGCGTAAGGCCCGGATCAATTCTCTCCCCTGAAAGAATCGAACTTGGCACACAACGTACACACACGCACAGGCCATCAGGCAGCCAAACTTGTGCACTTTTCGGGTCTTTCTGATTTCTAGAGGAGAAAAGTCGTGTCTGTTGGGTGCGTTTCCTCAGAAGAAAATTCTGGTATGAGAGCGCTTGCGGACAGGAACTTTTGAAAAGTGCTCGAGAGGCCGGTTAAAATCTTTAATGAATGATTCTCAATTCCGTTTCCCGCACTCATTCTTGGGCCCGGGCGTCGAATTTGTCTAATCTGCGCCCACTTGGGGCGCTCTCCTTAACGCGCCTCACGCCCAGGTCCATCTTGCGGGGGCCTACCCCTGAGTAAGACCAGCGAAGGCCAGTGGGGCTTATTCCTGAGTAAGCGTGCCCAGGATCTCAGTCACAACGCCTTCCAATAGGCACCGCTTATCTTTAAAAACCCAACTTTGACACGGGCCGCGCTTTGTCCACGCGCCGAAACAGCTGCGTCCCAACGAGTTGCGCAGAAACAGGCGCGCTCGCCTCGTTCTTGAAGGGGGGCCGTCTTGTAGGAGCTTCCACGCGGACTCGGACACACGCGCCCACTTTCTCAACAAGCTGTGTTGGGTGCAGCAAGCTACCAGTACTTGACCAGCCGACGGGCGGAACTGCCACCCATCTGTACACCACTACAAACGTTTCGACTGCAGACCTGCCCCGTTTTGAACCGAGAGTTTTCCGAGGGCAGCACAAGGCCTCGCGGGAAGGAGTGGGCATTTGTCCCCAAACACATTCTCCCGTGCTTTTCTCGCGACTATTGACGCCACTTAACAGAACTTCTGAGCAATTGGCATAGGATCAGGGTAGAATTCTTGCTGTCACCCCAACAGAACTGTTTTCTTCCAGCCAAACGCGTACCCGGAGAAGCTCAAAGACCTCCTCTTCGGTGTTCCCCTTCTCGGATACGCCTGCACAACCCCGGCCCTCCCAGAAACGATTTCTGATCCGAACAGGGAAGGAAGAGGCTCTCAGAAATCAGCAGATCGATTCCCCCTCCTAGCACTTGCGGGGCTTCAAAACATAACACCGCTTTCGCCTCGGCTCCGGAGAAAGGCAAAGGACTAGTTTCCCGAGGAATCAAACGATCCGCGGGCGAGATGGAGTGGCCGTCGGCAGCAGCGGCGCCGCCTGCGAACTAGCTGTTAATGACGCTGAATGGAAGGGGGTTCGAACTGGAACTCCCCTCCATAAGTTTCTTCTCTGGTCAAGGGAACTTTGGACAGGAAGACAGCTGAATTTCGGGCGTGCACCTGTACATGGGCATGGGGTGGGGGTGATGAGGGAATCGTGGCGATTTTACTGCCAGGGAAGCCACTAAGTAGCCCGCCATTCCTCGGAAGCCATGCCAAATACGGCTATTAGAAAGTTCAGTGTCTCGTTGACCTTGGTGTAATCGACTTCCCGGTAGACGCCTTGAATTCGGCGGCTCTTCCGTACCTTCGGAGGGGCAAGGCCTTTCCGGGGGAAGGGGACGTTTTGGGTGGGTGGCACTGCACCTGGCAGGCCCCGAGGTGATGCGCCTGCTGTGGTCTGTCCTGGAGAGTGAAGCAGGCCTGTGGCTGCCAGTGCCTGCAAGTCTGCTGTGAGACTCGGCTTCCCGCGCCTCCACGTACGACAAGGGCTCCCCCTAGAACCGGCAAGCGAGAGATTGCTGAGGAGAGGAGAACAGCGGGAGGAGGCAACGCCGGTTTCCTAGGTTCCCTTTGCCAGCTTTCTGTCCTCCCTGGGCTCAGCGAAAGCCACACGGAAGAAAAAGGCGCATTGAATGGGACAGCGAGCAGAGGCGCTTCCCAGCATCAACAAAATGCCTGCTCCTTTCCTTCCTTCCCATCCCACCGCAGCAACTCGGTCTCCTCCTCCTCCAGTACTACCTTCCTTGCAGTCAGTCCGAGTAGATGTTGGCGGCTGAAAAATGACACCACTTGGAGTTACCTTAATGACAACCTGAAGGTTGAAGATGAATAGTAAGATTAGATGGCAGCCAGGGGAAAAAAACCGCCCAGTAAAACAAGGAGGCTGGGATAAGATGAAAAGATCCGAGAAAGAAATCAAACCTATAGACGGGTAGTGAGATACATCCGGTAGAAAATATGGTAAGGGGAAACAGGTGGGGAAGGATTACATTGTGAAATGGGCAAAAGGGTGCAGGAAATATGACAGAAACGCAGCTAGATGCACAGCTCTGTGGTAAAAAGAAAAAGGGGAGGTAGTAAAGGCACAAAATACAACTAAAGTTAGAAGTGAGCTAATATAGAAATCAGCCCCGTGGAATCAAAACAAATTCCTTCTGCTTCCAACTAAAGTAGCGTCAACTTCAGTATGTTAGATGAAAGATCTTTTGATATTTTTTTCAGCATGTTTGTCTTCCAAGCAAGCATGCTTATTTGGAAAGAAGTCTTTTGAAGTCAGTGCAGCCTACTTGGAAGAAAAGTGCTTTGAATCAGAAGCAAAATGAGTATTCCAAAGAAATATATGTGCAAATCAGAGTTAAATCCATTTGGAAGTACATTTAATATACACCATTATAAAAGCAGGCAAATAATTCTGTTCTTAGGCTTATGACTGAAAATATGCTTGAAATAAGGAGCATGTGCATATTTTTGCCCCTCTATCTGGAATACTAATCGAAAGCAAGTATGTTCCTTTAAAAAAATTGAAGAGGACCTATTTTTGCTTAGACCATGTGGGGGAAAAAAACAATGAATTTACACTCTAATTATGTTTTAAAACATATTTAAAATATATATTCAGTGTGCATGAACACATTTTCTTCACACTACTGACTTACCTATAGTTAACTTGGCCATGCATTATGCATTTAGCCCAAGTTTCTGATTGCCAAGATGCCCTGAGCTATAAGCTAACCATGCAGGCAGGATTTGCCAATTCACTTGGGTAAAGCTGCCTGGTTAGTGATACAGTATGTCTCGCAAGCCCAGCTATGCAATCTGGAGCCCTGTATCCTGACTGGAATCTAGCACTGTTTGTGCTTCATTAAATTTTTCATGTTAACTATCAGTATTTTTTTTCCTTTTTTCCTGCTTTATATTACCTGTGTTTGTATGTCTTTAATTCCCAAATAAATGCCACCTAACACTCCCCCCCCCAAAAAAAATCTTACTTTCATTTTTTTTACTGTAGGAAGAAACAATTAGAAATGAGGCTTGATTGGCAAAAAAGGAAACATTAATAACATTTTATTTGGAAGACAAAATTAAGAAGGCAGTTGCAGAGACCCCCACCCCTCAGGGGCATGCTCCAGACACCTTTCTTTCTCTGTTCTACAGATATGATTGAGACAGAGTACAACACACTTGTTGGTTGTGCTAACTGAGACTGAATCCAACAATATCTTGAGACCAGAAATTCCCCAACCCTGATCAAGAGGCAAAACTGAGTTTAATATGGCTTGGGTGCTGCACAAAGAAATCGATCACAGAAACAAATGTCAACAAATGTATACATCCATTTAACCCCTTTATATCCAGAAGTCTTATTTCTATCAAGCAGGATGTGAATAAACAGGAGCATTCAGCTATTTTTCTACATTGTGAGAACATGCATAAAATGTATTTGTTGGAAATAATTTACTGCAACAGAAAAGTTGCAGTAAAATCAACCATGAATCTTGTAAGTCTTGCCACATTCAAGGAATGAGAAACTTCTGAAGGCTAATAATTTCCACTGAACTCATTGTGTATCACTTCTGAATAAACCTAAATGGCATTGGACTGCAGAACGTTTGTAATTTTAGGAATTCCATTAGCAAAGTCCTGCTCTATATATTCCTTTATGCTGTTAATAGGTGATTGGGTCAGATTCCAAAATTAATATTGTTTTTTGTATAGAAGGGACCTGCCACATAGCATGCTCATCAGTAGATACACTCTGATAAGTTGCCCCCCCCCTACATTTTACAAGTCTATACATGCTCTTTCTACAATGTGTGCATGGGAATATATTAATATGTTTGGTATACATTGTGCACAGGATGCCTGGGGAGAATGCAATCTAGTCCCAAATGATGGACTTCTTAAATTCCTTATTTTACTGGGAGATGTGACACCATTGAGCTTAATTCCCTGGAGGCTATGAATAGATAGCACTTATGATCCCCTCTAATATGGGATGTCCAAGCCACAATATTTTATCAGTCTGCAATGGAATAACTGGAATGTCTCAAATATATTTTATAGGAAAGCATTTAAAACATGACTTTTCAAGACTAATATATTAACTGATTAAAATGCACTTTTAACAGGTGCCAGGTGACTTCTGTCTAACCTCCATAAGTCTATGATTATAGATCTCAGCATTGGGATTCCAAAATCTATTTAGGCTTCTTTTAAGTGCTGCCTTTTATCAGAACCTGTTTGCAGTAAGAGTTCAAATAAATTAAAGACAGCGTAATTTCAGTATTCTTCTCCCCACCCACCATCACTACCATTGGAAAAACTTTTCAAATGCGATATTTTACTTGCAAGCACATTTCTTATTCTCAGATTTGGCTACAATCTTTTTAAAGGTCCATAGGACTGAAACAAATGGTCATGTTGATTTGGAGTACAGAAGAGAAGAAATTGGTATGCTCTTACCTGTTAGTTCATTTTTTTCAAACATGGAAGATTTCTTCCTAAAAGCTTTGGTCTTGATCTCGCCTGCCTAGTAAACAAGCTAATGGATCACAGCAAGGTCTAGTGAATCTACCCAATTCTTATTTGCTGCTCATTAGTGAATCCAAGTTTCCTAAACCTATAGTTCTATATGTGGCATTAAGACTTATCTAGAAGTAAATAACTTCAAAATTTAGTAGTTTACTTCTGAGGAGGGCTTGAACTCAGATTTTCAGAGGGTAGGATTGAACTGCTTTGGAAGAAATAATCTTGTAATATTCTTTCATATATGTGTGTAGAATTGTCCCGACAGTGAAGAAAGCATGTCAAAGCAAAATTAAATTTCCCACCCTAGTGCCTTCCAAATACATTAAATTACAGTTCCCATCATTGTCAGCCACGTTTCCTCTTCACTCTCAGAAGGGTGTGATGGCTAATCACTTCCTTTCGCCAGGGTGAACCAAGAGTTTCTGTTAAAGATGGAGATCTTCAATAGCCAACTGCCTTGCAGGATTGTTGTGTGACAGATAAAATACATAAGAATCTTTATTGTTCCCCAACAGTGGCAGTGGATTGCCATAACAGGGTAGAGAAGAAATCCCTATTATTTCCAAGCAAAGATCCATGTAATAGGAGGAATCTTTTATTAAAAGATAAAAGGTTTTATAAAATAAACCTTTTATTAAAAGATCGAAAAGTGGGTAAGCAATTTGGCAGAAAAAGAGTTGCAGCAAAAGGCACTGGAGAATCCCATGCTTGCATTAGGGACATTCAGGCCAGAGGTGAGCAGCTCTGATTTGGGGGTTCTATGAGCAGGTCCTTTACCAGGAAAAGATTGCTGTATCTTCTCTTTCTGATTATTGTTTTGCCCACACACAGCAAACTCTCCCTCCAAAAACAAACACCGTGAAGGGGGAATCCCAAAAGGACCTTTCTGAGCCTTGCTTAATGGAAAGAGAGGAATCCATTATCCTGATTCAAAATGCAACTGGAAAAGACTTCATTACTGGACATAACGTCAATAGAACATCTTTTGAGGGGTCCTTGGTGCTCTTCTGAGCTTGTTTTCTTGCAGACATTTCATTACCCTAACTAGGTAACATCATCAGTGCAAGTAGTAAGGAGTGATATTTGCTGTCACTTTATATTCTGGTGGCTTGCCTGTCTGTGGGTTTTTTGCATACGGCAGTTTCAAACTGGCTCTTTTCCCCTGTTTATAGGGCATGAACCCATCAGGATGTTTAGCTAAGAGATTTTAAAAGCTGCAGTACGAAATCCTAAGGCCTTGCTTGGAGATAAGCCAACCATAGGAAAGCTTGCTTTAGGATAAATATGATGAAACATATAGACCTGTATTTATTGTTGATTTTTCTATTGTGATTTGTCACTAAATTCAATAAAAAAAATTGCTAAAGTTTGCAGTATTCAGATCTGATCCAGACAGCATCTTTCTGTGTGGGAAGGAGATCTATTTGATTTCAAGTGGAGATTTCCTCCCAAGCTGGCCACTGGCAAGTTGGCTGCTGCAAGTTCTTCTAGAATCTAGACCCCTCTTGCAGTGTAAAGCAATCATTTCCAACCTAGTGATTTTCTGATGTTCCAATTCCAATTCCACTTTAGCCATATTGGGACTGTGTAACACTTTCCAGCCTGACAGGAGCTGAAGGGAAAAGGTTCTGGAGTTTAGAACTTGAAGCCAGTCGGCCAACAACTCTAGATTGAAAGAATATGTGCCTCCATACCAGCGGTGAAATCCTCTGAAGTCTGCTACCAATTCTGTGAATCTGTGAATCTGCTACTGAGCGCACGCTTTGCGCGCACATGCGCACGAGGCATGCCCACGCAGCACTAAAAAAGGAATATTTTGAAGCCTTCCGAGTCTGCAAAGGTAAGTAGAATAGTGAGGGGGGGAATCCGCTGTGCCACACGATTTAGATTTAGATTAGGAAATTTGAGAATTCTAGCTAATATAAATAGCACATCACAGCTGATCATCACCCAGCTGATCGTCAGAAATACCAGTTCGGCTGAACTGGTAGCAGTTTTTACTACCGGTTCTCCCAAACGGGTCCGAACCGGTAGCATTTCACCCCTGCTCCATACTACATAGCTATACTTAAGGAACAGTCCCACTGGTTCAAATTGCCTATCCTTGTGTGGTTTGCCATGGAAACTGCTTCTGAAGCTGGTTTATGTATAGCTAATGAATTCCACTGAAGGAACCATCAGAAATCAAACATCGTAAGTGTAACTTTTCATGGCAACTTTTGTGCAATTACATTTTTCAATGGACTGTCCTTTTATATTCTTAAAAAGAATCTTTCAGCACATTTTGAGAAAGCATAATAAAGTTTTTATCCATCATGGCACTTTAATGGCCTAAACGGGGGGGGGGAGTTATTCTGTTATATTTATATTATAGTTATATTCTGGAATAAAGTTATCAGCAGTATAAATACCATAATAAATAAATGAAGTTATTGAGGGTTTTTTCCGGGTCATAGATAAGGCCAGCATACAATGATAAAAGAGTAGCTGGATGTCTGGTCAGGTATAGCCAGGATGATCTGTGCAGGTATAAATAGCAGATAAGAAAAGGTCCTTGCCACTTGATCCTTTCACTGGAGATTACAGTCACTGAATTTCAGAATACAAAACAAGTGCTCCTTTACTGAGCTATTGTGAGATCAGTTCAGACATCATGCTAAGGTGTGGTTGGCCTAATCCAATTATTGAGTAAACCATAAAGATGCACACAGCATGTTAAATCATAAACCCTGGCTTACAATAGCTAGGTTTATATGACATGCAAAATCCAAACTACATTTCAGATCGGAAAATCACGTGAACCAGATTTTTGATAAATCTTCTAAAAATTTTAGACAAAGAGCTAGATTACAACTGGGATCAAGGAGAGGGAGGTTGTTGTTTCAGATAACACTGAAGAGAACAGTGTGGCATGTTTGCTGCTCAATGTCACCTCAAATACAAAGCTGCTTTTAAAAGTAATGGATCAGAAGCTGGCCCATTATCAGCAATTCATTTACCAGTTCAATCAGCTCTTATACAAGGGAGGGAGGCACAGCACCATCTTGTCCTTCATCTCAGGAATTCAAGTTGAAAAGCTTCCCAACTTTGCATTTGCTTAGGTCCAGGAGCTACAGGAAAAACAGTTGACTGAGGGAGATACAATTGCACTTTTTGGGTAACTAAGTGGTATCGCCCAAAAGAAGGCCAACCTGCTTTTTATTGTCCCAGGGAACTTTAGTTTAGTCTTTAGTTTCTGGAAGGCAGATTCTTGTTAAGCATTAAGAAAAACCTCCTATTAAGTAATCTGTCAATGGAATGCATTACTAAGGGAGGTGGGAGATCCCCTTTATTGCACTTCTTCAGATGGAGATTGGAAAGCCATCTACATGGGAAGCTTTGACTGGGATTCCTGCACAGAGCAGGAGTTTGGACTAATGAAACAAAAAAAATGTTAAAATGTTGGAATATTTATGTAATTACTTATCAAGCACATCTAAATGATATTAAAATAACCAAAATATCTTTACAATCCCCAAGGCATGTCACAACTTTTGAGCACCCCTAATGTTTGGAAATTGAAAGTTGAAAAATTTGACACACCCTAAAACTAACTGACTTTTCCAACTCTGGGATCCCTGAGCAGTGTTAGTTCTAAATTAATAAAGAAGTACAATACCCACACAAACACAAACACCAATATTTTAATGCAGTGCTGCCACCCAAGCTTTTAGGTTTGTTTTTGGTGGGGGGGGGGTTGTTGTTGTTTTTTTTGGTGTGGGATTGTGCCTTACCCACTATGTCCCCATAATATGCTTGTAAAGTAGATTGAACTAAGAGATAGTAGCTAAAACCCATGAGTTTTATCACTGAGAGGGAATTGTATAGAGAGTTTTCCACCTTATGCCTTACAAAATTGTTCTGCTCTCCAGACATATCCTTTGATCCCTATCAGTAACTGTTAATAAAGCCAGTGCCAAGGAATTGTAGGAAATGTAGTTCAAAACATGTGGAAAACACCATGTTGCCACTCTATACTACACTATTCTAATGCCAGCAGCACAATAAATTTAAAAAGCAACATAATATATAATACATTTGCATAACAGAATCACCAAGCTAAATGCAGCCTCCCAGCCATGGATAGTAGCTTGCCAGGAGCTTAATACAGACTATGTATTTATTCATTCACTTGCTTTGTCCTGCATGATGAAGCTACATTTAGCTTGATGGGTCACACATCAGGCAGATCTCTGATTCAACACTTGGAACTGCCTGTTTGTGCTTCCATGATATCTATCTTAAAGAATTAGATATTTCAGTATCAAATTGAAATTCAGGGTGATAATGTTGACCTCACTTACTCAAGCAGAGATTTAGAATTCTCCCTAAGTATTTGTTCCTGCAACATGTGCACTGACATTATAAAAAATAATGCAATTATATTTATAATGAAAGAAAATGCTTAGCTGCCTTTAAGAAACAGCTGTATATCCAAATTCTGTTCTTTAAAATAAGGGTTTTAATGTACTGGGTTAAACCCTTATGTGTGTATTTGAGAAGAATGCTGACATACATGTATTACAATTAAAAGTGGTAATAAAAAACTTTTTATGATATGAGTTGTTTCAGGCTTCCTTAAATTGATTCCATTCAGAGGTTTTTGCCTACACTTTTCATCATACCTAATAAGGCTCTTCTTGAAACTATAGCCAAAACATCCAGGCTTGACATGAGGGGTCCTTGGTCCTCTTTGAGCTGGGTTGTTTTCTTGCAGATGTTTCATTACTCAAACTACATAATATCAATGCACTGATTATGTTACCTAGTTTGGGTAATGAAACATCTACAAGGAAACAACCCAGCTCAGGGAGAACCACAGACCCCTCATTGTAAGAATCATATAATAAATCAATTCCCTTCCCCTCCCCTATCCACCTTTAAATTCAGGTAATTTTTTTATTATTATTAGCCACTCTAAAAATAACTAGATTATCAATCATTAAAGGACTCCTTCAACAAAAACAAAATTGTACATTATCTTCCAACACAGCCCTGTGAAGTTGTTTATTCACTGGGCTGCAAGGCTGAAAATCTGATGCAAATTCTCCTAAGTCAAAGGCCTGATGCATATGACCAACTTGCTTCGCCCACAAGTGGGCCACTGACCAGTCCTTGAAAGCAGGAATGCGCAGCACTATCTTCTACTTTACAGGAATGTTTTCTGGCTTATGCCAACTCAAGTAATGCTTGCTGCACTTCATTTCACTGCAGGCAGGCCTCTCCATTCGAGCTGCTGGCAGGAAAGGTACCTCCCCACCTCCTCTCAATGGTCACTGCCTCTGCAGTGACTTTTTTTTAACAAGTGGAACAATGAAAAAGTGGGCTTTTCTTGTTTTGTACAAGTTCACGGATGGAACAGGTAAAGGATGGACTTTTTTTAAAAAAAGGGACAGAGTTTTGACAGGAAAAAAAAGGTAAAACAGAAATCTTTTTATCCTTTTCTTTTTAACCTTCTAGGAGAAGAATGTTTTAAAAAACAGGAGCTGCAGTAATGGCAGCCTGAAGGCTGTTTGGAAGAGAGAACATCAGGCCTTCACCTTGGCCAAAGCTGAGGCAGAGTTTGAAATCCAGAAGGGGTTTCTTAAGCCAACTTCATTTTCAGCCAGTTTATGCATGGGAGACAAGCAGCTTAAGGCTGCAGTGCGGAAAAGCCTTAATACCAAAATTCTTGACACTCCTGGCACTCAACAGTTGTGAAAAATTGTTCAGTCTCTAACCATAGAGCAGCTTTTCTCAGATCTCTGCAGCAGACTGAAGCTATAAGGTATGCTTGCTTTTTTTATTTTTTATTTTTAAATAATTTTAAACTATCTATTTTATTTATGCGTTTGTTTATTAAATTTGTTTGCCACCTGTCTTGTTGCAAGGCAACTTTGGGCAGCTTACATCATCGTGTTAGCTAACCAGGGCCATAAATTTGAGATGGGTGGCTATATAAATTAAACAAATAAGAAAACAAATAAGAAAGAATTGGTGCAAACATGCAACCTGCTAGAATCCAGTAACTTCTTATAACTGTAGTTCTAATATTGTTGCAAAAAATAGGTATGTAAATCCATTTGTGGGTCATTATATATGACTGATGAGTTATGTTCAGATTTTATTTAATTTTTACTCCTCTGTCACACCAGTCAGTAAAATTAAACTGATATGGAAGTTATTGACATTAGAAGAAATCTATTAACTGTAGGAAGTTTTGTTAATAAAATCAATAATAAAACCAAGTATGACATTAGAAGCTGTAGTTCTTTAATGTCTAGAGTTCTATGGGTTGCCCAATCTAATGTAACTTTTCCTCATAATCTTTTTCATCAGATTTTATCTCCCCCTTCAGTTCTACAATAATCTTAAACTATGACTGGATCATACATTTCATCACAGGTATTACAATATTCAGGATTTTGTTGTTTTTCCAGTGTCCAACAGACCTTTTTTTAGTAGCAGTTGCAAATCACATTTTTCTTCAAGTAATCCTCCCAAATTCCAAGGTTCTTGAAGAACAGATTTTCTTCCTAAGTGCTTCTTGCCTGCAAGATGACTGGTAGAAGAAGATTGTCAGGTCAAGGGAGTAATTCAGACTTTTTCAAACACCAATATATTTAGATTACACTTTCTACATTTAGAAATTGAAGCTAATCTATATGTCTGGAGACAAGGAGGGTCTAACTTTGCTTACTAAGAACTGTACCTCTGTAACTTTTCTTTGTTCAAAGAAGTCGAGCGCTTGCCAGATATGATGTTTGTAAGTACACAACACGTTTTTCAAATCACAAAAACCGGATTTGCATAAATTGGTAAGGCAAAACCACCAGTCCTCATCATGGCTTAGTGCATACATCCTGCTAAACTCTGTGTGCATGTAGGGGTTTCATTAAGATGTGCGGGCTTCAACTCAGAACTCACAATTGAAAGACCACATACCTTAAAGTTGTCAAATGTGAAAAAAACTGCACTAAAATATTTAGATTTAAATGGAAGGATTAAATGGCCAAACAGACATTTTTTAAAAGGCTCAATTTTCCTTTTGAGAAAGGGAGAGCAGGATCAGGGACAAAATGTAATGGTTCTTAAAAAATTTTTAAAAAAAAGCTCTAAGAGGCAAATTTCCACAAATGCAGCTTTTTTCTCATCTCTGTGCAACATGCTGCATTTAGCACCGTAAAACTGTTTCTCCTGAACTATGTGGGTCTTTGGACAGTCATCACCCTCCCAGCATTGTGGGAATCTTTGAGGGAGGGGCAAGAGAATAGCAAAAGCAAACTGTTTTGGATCTTGTCTTTTCCAGTTAGGATAAAACCTGAATCCAACTCTTTAAAGAGGACAGAATTGAAGATTTGCTCTGAGTAAAGGAGAAATTCTTCTGAATTTCAGAAATCTTCATGCACATGGCAGACTAGAATTTGTATCTTGTTGAAGGCTGTAGCTAAAGGCAAACAGCACAACCCCAGTGAGCAATCTCTGTCGGATGCCATTTCTTTTCTTCTGGGACTGTAACCTCTTTAACATTTATACACATACGGAATGTGACTGGGCTAATTATCGTCTTGGAAATTCTTGGCGTTTGTTGCATGACACTTTTGGCAAAAATCATGCACTTCGGGTTTCTCAGCTCTTATCTACTGCAACTTCTAATGCAAAATGGAGCAGAGGGAGATGCTTGGTAAATAAATTTCATGGCGCAGGTTTTACAAAGATTAGCAATGTATTTGAGCAACTGCTTGGGTATGATCTCTTCATTTTTTTCCCCTTTAAAGCAGAGGATCTATATTTTGCAGTTACCTTTCCTGACTGTAAAGCAATCACGGAAAACTGCAGGAGGCCCCATAAATATGCAAATCGCCGAGAGATAACTGGTTTCAATGGTTCCGCCTTCAAGTAGAAGGATGCCAGCCAAAGCACTTCCATTCTGAGTAATTTATATGTCAGTGGTGCCCCCTGCTGTATTCACAAGCTGTCCACGGAAGAGGAGGCAAAGCGTTATGTGAAAAAACCTCTTTCAAATCTAAGATCCATCAGTATTTTTGTCACAAAATGTTATTTTCAGAAGGAACAGAACATAAGTATAAAAATTGGCTTAGTCCAAAATGCTAGGGAAGGGAAAAAGTACAAAGAAATTTACCAGAAGGGGATCTCTATGAAGTTATGTGAGGAAACTAAAAGCCCTTATTCAATCTACCCATCCTCTATGTTACAAAATTTATTTACAAGCTAATTTGCATTTATTAAAAAAACACGTCACTATATTCAGATCAACGGGAAAGATCTATAGTATATTATGATTGCCTTTAAATTACAGGTTCAGCCAATATATTTGCATATTAACCTAGTCACTTTTAAGGTTGTCTTAGCTGTCCAGCCCTACAAGAAATAAAACTTCTTCCCCTTCACTATTTCTCAATCTCTCTGTCTAATGTACCTGCTCGTAAAAATCTAGCTGTATTTGCCCATGGCGCCATAATCTCATTACTGCTAAAACAAATTAAAGGCTATATCTTTTTATTTTTATAGCCCAAGACTGGATTGGTTGATTTTGGTCATTTGCTCTTGTATTAGCGAGAAATTTAAATAACACTTCTGTTTGTTGCCCTAATGATGTATATTGGAAAGATAGAATATAAACAAGAGACAAAAATTCTGAGCCATTCCCTTTCTCTGCTTTCCTCTGGCGAGCCATTAATAGAAGTTTGTTTATCAATATAAAATTTTGCAGGTCATTATTCCAAAAGATTTTGGGGGGGGGGAACAGCATTTACACAGCTATCTTATCTAAGAGTAAAGGATATAAGCAGATTTGCAATAACTTTTGTCTCTGATGCTCTATAGTGCAGTGCTCTCCACACATCACAGAGTATCACAATATCATTCACACCCTTGACGGTCTATTGAAGACATAATATCCATTTTAAAAATTGCCTGAAATGTATTAACATGACGCCGCCATCTAATGGATCAGGAGGCATCCTCCTCTTTATCAAATAATAAAAATTGTTATAGGCCAGTCTATCATGTCATTTTACACCCTCATCTAGGAGGATTGTTTTATGTATGTGTAGCTTTTTTTAAAAAACAACAACATTACAGCTAAGAACAAGACTGGGGAGAAAAGGATGGAAAGAGAATGACATTATAAGATGCTTAAATATTTAACTTCTAAACTCCCTACTGAGAGCACAGGTCTGCATGGGACAAAGGTAACAATAAGCACTGAAAATTCTGAGTTCTTTTCCTCCTCAACTGTACATATTGCCTTGTTCACTGTTGTTTGCTTAATCCTGCTCTGAACAAACCACAATTGGCTAAAACTAGGCCACAAACCAGTTAATAGGACTCCAAAACACACCAAGCCAAAACTAAACAAGCCACATGATATCTTAATATATTCATAGGCCTAGCTTGCTTTCTGAGTGATGGATAAGATTGAGAGACTCCACAATTCTGGCTCCTCTTTGACATCTACCATGCTTCTTAAAAACATTTTTCTATGAAAACAAAAGGCATTTTTCTGAAGGGGGTATGAGAATCATTCCAAATACAGTATTTGCTTTTCAAGTGATGCACCTCTGGATTCAAGCAAACACCAAGAAATAAAAGGGTCAGCTAATTGAAATACCATTGAATAGACAACTGGCATATAATTGTGCATAGGTACAATTATCATTTACATGGAATGATAGGTGCATTTTTTTTTTTGATACCATCTCAAAACCAGCATTTCTTCATGTATCTTCTAAGATGATGCTCACCAAGTGATATGCATTTCAAATATTTTTATTTGAAATATTTTAGGGCTTTACCATCCCAAAGCCAGAGAAAATGTACTATTAAATGACTGTATCTGATGTTAAGAATTACTTCATACACAAATTCTTCAAGTATTATGGAAGTCCTGCGGAAGGATGTTCTATTGGTTCAGGGCATTCAAATAGATTCAAGATGATTTAGTATAGCCAAAACAATGTGTTTATAGTATACGATCTTGATAAAAACTGTCAACAACTTTTCCAAATTAGAACTGCTCTTAGAATAAAGTCCAAGATCTATGAAATGTTCCCCCCCCCCAAAAAATCTGATCTTTTTAGAATTTCACTGTTATTTATTGCTATTTTTATGCAGTATTTATTGCCATTCCTATAGCAAATTATTATTGCCTGGTTTATTGTGCTTTCCCTCCTATTGGCTTTTACACATTTTAATTAGGATCAATGTATTCTGCCCAGAGAAGCATGATTATTGAAGACCAATAAATAAATACCAATATCCAGTATAACCATTGTGCAACTAAAGTTATATGAACTGGTTTTGTTCTGGTTTTTACCATTCTTGAATATGTGGACAGCTGCACTTTGTTTTAGCTTCAAGCATTTTTTATTTAGAATCAAAAAAAGCAGAAGTACACTTTGGAGATAACCATAATGTGAGAAAAAGTAACTAAGTACAATATAATATCAAAAATAGCTAACAATTAAAAAATCATAGTTTTCCAAATTATTGAAAATGGAATGGCAAGATAAAATCCATTAGGGCAAACAAAACATAATTGCCGCCATACCTACATTCCAGGTGGATCTCCTACCTCCATTTTTCCACCCCACCCCAAGTTCCATTGCAGGGAATGATTATTAGAGAAAACAGACATTGCAAGTTAGTATTCTCAACCTCCCCCTCTCTCCAAAATAATGCCACCTACCTCCTGTCCCTCACTTTTCAGAATTGCATACAGCTATTCAATCTAGAGGCTGCTTGATATTATCTGTATCTGTGAGCTGTCAGTGAGAGCTGCATATTAAAACATCTGAGCAGTTCTATCCAGCTAGGATGATCATTTAATTCCAAATTCATTAACCCCTATTATGCAGTCCTCAAGTCTAACCTACAATGGCTGCCATTTGATCTCAGAAGAGCTAGAAGTCCTACTTTGGAACTGTATCTGGCTGGGAATTTAAAAATATGTTTCATGTAAATCATGGCAGTTGTTGATCTGTACATTTGCATCTGTACATTTGTTCATGGGCAGATGGTATTAAAAATGGGTCTGCTTGCAGAAATTCTAAAAGGAAGAGTCAGAACAAGGGAACGTACTGCATTCTAGTGATGCAATCCTTTCACAAACCTGAGTCATATTACAAAAGGTAACTGGTTGATTGAAATCCTACGTATGCCATAAAAGGAAACCAGCCTGTACAAGCCAACTAAGGGCTGTCATCTAATTACAAACATTCTGGTTGATTTGTTGTATGAATTTTAATAAAATTTGTGACCTGGCTTCATCTTGCCTTGGAATAAAACTGGATTCACAGAGTTAGGTTGCAAGCCTTTTAATAATTGGTTGTTGACTAAACCTCATTTTGCTTGTTCAATACCTCACGCTAAACCTTTAATCATGGTTTACAAACCATACTAGCTGAGTTTACACACTGTGACCAGAGAGACCCAAACAAACCACATTATGGCATAGCATGGTCTAGAAATTCCAAATGAAAGGTGAGAAGTAAATCTAGTAAATAAATACATGAAGCCAATCTAAAAGCCTTGCAAAACTCAAATGGCTATGTTTATGAATTGACATGTGCAGGCTTTTAATGTGCACAAATGGGTATATGAACAAATCAATAAAGGAATCTTATTTGCTAGCAGCGTTTCACAAATGTTCATGGAAGAAGTTATGCCATGATGTAACAGGTTCCTTTGGAATTCTCAAACCGAAACTTGTGCAAGAATGTAATCTCTGCAGCTAAAACAGTGTAAAGAAAACTTCTCATGAGCAGAGAAGTCTATCAGATGTTAATATAAAAATAGAACTCTTCAATTCTACGTATTTGAAAGTAGTAGTATATATTTAACCTATCCTGATTACTAAATCTTTCAGACCTAATCCAAATCTAAAATGCTAGTAATTGGTGCCTAAGAGGAATCCAATTCATAAATATGTGAATTGTAACAGAACTGAATTGTACAGGTATTTCATACAGTCCATTTTTGTTTCCTAATCATCTTAAATCTGATCCATCTATACACAAAACACACCCTTCTTTGTCATTCTTGCAATCTGCAGATGCCATCAACATATTCAGTGTATATGCAAGTGTGAGCTTGTGCACACAAGAGAATCCTTTTTTTTTCCAGGCACACTGCTAAAGAAAGATGTGAGTGGTCTCTCCCTCCATCCTTCCCCTCTCATTCTGTCTCTTTAATGTAGCCAAATAACAATTTTAGCATTCAGATGAAGTGATTTCATTCTCAGACTGCTTTTTCTATTAGATTTGATTTTGAGAAGCCCCAGTGGGTGCCTCCAAGGCAAAAAGCTATCTTTGAGGCAGCCACAGATTCAATAGCAGCCTGAGCTAACCTTGACCTTTGCCTCTAGACCCTGTTCCATCTGGTGCAAGCCTAGGGTTTTCCTTCCCCCAGGCCGCAGAGTCCTCCTCCTCCTCCTCCTGGCTTCACAGTCAACATTGATCAAGGCAGAATCCAATGCACCCCCCTCTGCTTTATTCCTCCTCTCCTCCCTTTCTTTTTTCCAAGGGCTCGGGCAATGTGTGCAAAGAACACCACATTTCAATATATGGAAATGATCCAGCTTCTTATGCAACCATAAATCTACTTGTGATGTGATCCCCCCTCACCTCTGAGAAATCTTCCTTTCTACCATTCCTTCCTCCTACAACCTCCCCCCCTCCCCATAGGATTTGGTATTATAAGCTATTCATGACATACTTCCACCCCACCACCACTCGGGAGAAAATAGCAAAAAGCTTTTTGGCAGGCAGAATCCACTGTCCAGCAAACTGCATTGCATTTTATTGCATTCATCCCACCTGCTCTAACCTTAAATGTTTTTTTATATAATTCCACCCACTCTACTTTGCTCTTAGAAATGTTGCTTGCTTATTTGTTTACTTGTTTTAAGAACTGGGAATGAGAAGAAAACTGAACCAGTTGGGGGGGGGAGTTATTTTAAAATTGCAAATTATTTATGCAGTCCAATTTGATGTGAGCTCAAACTGCCAAAAGTCTTGTTTAAATGCAAATGTTTTTTATTATCAACTTGCCAACAGGACTGCATTTTCAAAAGGAAGTCTTCAGGATAACCTGGCTTGTCCTCAAAAAAGTATGTAAAAAGAGTATACTTTCTTTAAAACCAGGCCCACTATGTTAGGTGTTTAGGATTTCAGTTGAAGACAGACTGAATATCTATGCAGAACTTCAGCTGGACTGAATCTCAGGTAAACTTGTACAAAGAAGCCAGCAACAGGATGGAAATCTATTTACACTTACCTGGAAATAAAAGCCATTGAATTTAGTAGGCTTTACTTTCAAGTAGACACACACAAAGCCGGACATTCATGTAAATAACAATTTAATAGTGAATCTACAATAAAAGAACGTTAAAAATTAAATTTCTAAAATTGTAACTCTACTGGACTCTAAAAGGAAGACATAAAAGCACTTGATGCTGCTAAATAATCGTTTGAACAACTCTTGTATTTCCACTGCCACGCAAGAAAAAAAAATATAACGTCAGACCCACCCACCCCCGTCCCCAAATATTCTCTCTAATATGATTAAAAATCCCCATACAGCTAAAGTCTCATTTAGGAGGGATGAGAACGAGAATAAACGGAACCAATTCACGAGTAACGGGGCGGCCTTTTAAAGGTGGTGACCTCGCACCCTGCTCAGAAACGAGCCCCTACGAAGCACCCGCGTGGGGCTCCTCAAACGTTCCGGCTCCCGATCCTTGTTCCCACAAGAAATGCGCCCTTGCCTATTTGAAAGCAAACCCAGCCTTACTCCCGAGGAAACGAACAGAAAGCTCGCGGCCGTCCTTACACGGGGATCTGCCCTAGCTTAAAAAAGCCGGCGCCCGCTTCCAGGAGAAGCAACCGGCGAAACTCGCTAAGGTTTACTCCCGAGTAAACCCACCGCGCCCAGGCTAAAGGCGCCCTCCGCCCAAGGTCAAATGGCAGCGACTTCTGAAGGGCTTCCTTCCGAGGAAAGGCGGGTAAACTGGGGCTAAACAACGTCTGGATTTCTCTGTGCGAAAAGACACAAAGGAGGACGGGCGAAGGAAGGTGGGAAGAAATTTACAGGCGGCTTCCTTGGCGAGCCCACCTGTCTCCGCCATTCAGCCTTCGCCCTCTTCCTCCTCCTCCTTTCCGAGATCAGGCCGGCCTCACTTCTTCGGCCGCACGTGAAGCTAATCCCACCACACTTCCTCCTGGGAAATCGTAGTGTAAAGATGTAGTAGAAGAAAGGAGGGAAAAAAGGGGGGGGGGGAATGCGATGTCACGTGGGAGTCACCCTGGCCAGGCGCAGCGGTGGCGGCGGCGGCTGCAATAGCAACTCCTGGAAGAAAATTGCCTTGCTGGCCGCTTGGGCGCATTTCAATATATGGAAATGACCAGCGGCTCCTGCAATAAATCAACACTTTTGTCATTCTCTCTCTCTCTCTCTCTCCCCCCCCCCTTCCCCCTCCCTTTCCTTTTTTTTTTTTCCCCCCCCTTCTTTCTCCCCCCCCACCACCTCCCCCCCCCCCCCCCCCCTTTTTTTTTTTTTTTTTTTTGCTTTGCTCTGGAATTGCAGCAGCCGGCTCTTGGTATTTCTAAATTCCCATTTAATTCATCTTGACTGTGCAATTTGCTGAATTTTCAGAGCCGTCGGTCTTAAAACAGCCGCATTTTTATCGCCAAGAATGCGCGGCTACCTTTTATGAATAATTATTCTAAAAGGTTGCATTGTTCGACGGGAGAGTTGCTGGTCCTTTCCGCAGCCTTATAATTGCAAAACTTGCGTAGGGGGCGAGCTGCAAATTGCGGACCCCCAACCGCAAGCCAAAAAAAAAAAAAAATCATTTCGTTCTTCTGTGTGCGTCGCGTTTGCAATATTTGCTCTGACATTCCTGCGCAGGACAAGCTTTTCAGGATCATTTTACTTTTACGGATTAGCCTTGCGCTTGGAGTGCGCATTTGTGTGCCTGCTTTGAAGCGTCGAAAAGCGAGGAGGAGGCGGCGCTCTTTTTTTAATTGCTGGCGCACCGCACGGCGGAAGGCGACAGGGACGAGGGCGCTCTTAACTTTTCTAACTGCAGTAAACGCAACCGGCGTTTTGAACGGAAACGCTTTTCTCTGATCCTGAAGCCGCCTTCGATTGGAGTCGTTTAGACTAACCGCTCGGCTCCTCCTCCCCCACATCGCGTACTTAATGTTTAATTTGCTTTCATGGTTTCTGCTTTTCTTCACCGCTGACGCGAAGGCAGTCGTTAGCCAAAGCAAGACAGAATCGCGCGCGATATAAAGATGTTGATTTGGATTGGAAAGGAAAAAGACAGAGAGAACAGAGAGGAACGTTTGGGATAAATAGGGTAGGGTAGGATGAGGAAGGGACCTTGGAGGTCTTCTAGTCCAGCCCCTGCTCAAGCAGGACAACCTATACCATTTCAGATAAGAGACTGTCTAGTTTCTTCTTAAAAACCTCCAGTGATGGAGCACCCATGATTTCTGAAGGCATGCTGTTCCACTGGTTAATTGTCCTTATTGTTAGGAAGTTTCTCCTTAATTCCAGGTTGCTTCTCTCTTTGATTAGTTTCCAACCATTGTTTCTTGTCCTTCCCTCTGGTGCTTTGGAGAATAATTTGACCCCCTCTTCTTTGTGGCAGTCCCTCAAACAGTTTGGTGTAGTGGTTAAAGCATCAGCTAGAAACGGTGATGGTTTAGGCATCACCTAAACAGAACAATCAACCAATGGAACAGCTTGCCTTCAGAAGCTGTGGGAGCTTCATCACTTGAGACTTTCAAGAAAAGATTGGACTGCCATTTGTCAGAAATGGTGTAGGATCTCCTCCTTGAGGGGGGGTTGGAATAGATGACCTATAGGGTCCCTTCCAACTCTGTTAAACTGTAATAGGCACAATCACTAGGAGTCAACACTGACTCAAAGACAATCCCTATCCCCTCCCCCCCCAAAAGGTTAGACTAAGGGAACTGTGGGAGCCAAAATTCTTCCTCTACACATCAAAGCTAACTTAGGCCTTACTTGAAATGATGCCCTCTAGATATTTTTGAATACATCTCCCATTAGCCACAGCAAATATGAAAAATGTTTGAGGATGAGGGGGCTGTAATCTAGAAGATCTACAGGAATTTACATCTAGTCTGTTGGAAGACTAGCCGATGGCAACTAGAATAAAGAAAACATACTAAACTGAATCAAGGCTTGCTTTATATATGCATGGCTATATTTAGAATTTCTCTCCAGTCTTGATTTTTGGTAACTGGCAACCAGGAATTTGCATCTGGGAGATAAAAACTATAAAGGAGATGGAAGGAACTCTGTTCTAGTTGCAAGAGTGAGATGCTGGAGATGTACCAAAAGATCTCTGGACTACGGTTTTCTTTTCCAGACCTTGGAGCTTGTTAAAAACTGTTAGTAACTGCAACTGTGACTTGCAATTGATGCTTTGCTACACAATTTTCAGGCTTTCCCTTTTTAATTTTCTTTTTAATGAAATTGGGTACACAAATGCCACTGGGTCAGTGAGTGTTGCTTGAAGGTCTCTCAGGATGTTAGGCAAAAGATAATGTGCAAACTATACAAATGGTTGATGTTATCCCATCAAACAGCATTATGTGTAGGTATTATAAGTTTTGTAACTATGATTTTAGATTGTAGTTCATAGTGATGTGCAAATCAATCTAGTGTCAAACATAGATTTGCCATGTTGGGATCATACCCCACTTACCTACAGCTTGAGAGAAAAAAGAAAGCTGTGCTGTTGCCTAAGGCGAGGACTGTTCCTTGTCTGCTGTGAACTTGCATGAAACAGAAAGCCAAGGAGGGGGTCTAGTGAATGGTAGAACTGCCATAAGTGCAACTGGCCAGTGGTTTGGAGGCTGCCTTGGTCTGCTGGACTAACTGTCTTAAACAGACTTCCTGTGTGGTTTGTGGCTGTCAAGCATCTGCTTTTCAAACTCTCCATATGGGAATACCTCAACAGAAGGAAGGGATTTCATTTAATGGCTGAGCACGTTCCTCATGAACTGATCTTTTAAAACTGTCTGGGAACCCTTTTGACCAAAGAGCAGAGTAAAAAGTACTTTACAAAAATGACTTGCTTGTCTAAACTTTACTGGTGGCCTAAGAGAGCCATTAATTTAGGTTTATACATTACACTGAACAATCAAGTGGTTTACCTACTTTTGGGCTGTGTGATGGATGAGCCCAGTCTACTGTGTTGTATTTAACACCATGATTTGGCCATCTAGGCAATGCATGAACCAAGTTGCATTTATGGAGGACTGATGAGTCAACAGTTATATAAAACTTTCATTTACCGTAATATGCCACTAAATGTCAATTACTTGAGAACAACTGGGAATGGTGGTAGCCCTTGTGGGTCTTCCAAGAGTTGACAGCTGTGGGATAAAGGAGGAGCGCTGGCTGGATTTTTGGTTTGTTTTTAGGGTTCTTATTTTCCATGCTTTGTATTCAGAAAGTGCCAGCTGCAATACTGGGCAATTCCTGACAAAATGGTACCTAAAAAAGCAAGGCTTGAGAGGCTCCCATTAACCTGAGCTTGAAAACACACAGCTAGAAAGAGAAGCACAGCTGAGTTTGTGGTCTTGATTCTATGTTTTCTTTCTTCCTTTCCAGGTGCTCATTGTAATAAAGCAATTGAATATTTCTCACTTGGACAAATTGCAAAATGATATTTAACTTGAACAAGAGAAATTTGTATCCCAGTTTTTATTCTGCAATGAAACTCCAATGTTGATCTGAAGCTAATCGCTTCTCTGGATAATCTTCATGGGGCTGCTTTAAGTATCAGATAAAATCATTTTACATGCTTGTCTTTGATGCCTTTTGGAGTAAAATATAAAAACAACTCTATCTACATTTAACTCTTAAATAACTCTACATCTGAGTTGGGCTGTGTTTATTTTGGGATTTGTTTATTTCCACAAGATATCCCCCAAATTATAGTGTACATTTTCTAATATACTTGTATTATTAGTAGAAATGCTTTAAATCAATGCTTTTCAACTCTGACAACTTTAAGATGCCTGGACTTCAATTCCCAGAATTCCCCAGCCGGCATCTTAAAGTTGTGAAGATTTAAAAATACTGCTTCAGATTAAACAAGGTCCTGGTATTTAATGGATTTCTGCACACTTTTATTTGAACCCATTTTTAAAATGTTATTGTACATGGATCTTGTTTTGTGTTTTGCTGTAGAGCTAACCCCTGGTTACAGGGCCAAAAGAATGCCAGATGCAATGTTGCTCAATTTTTTATTTTTCCAGTATGTATTTTTCCTTCCATCTTACATAGATGTATTTGTAATTTTATATGAAAAACTGTTTGAAAATATATACATATTTTCTGCACATATGCCCTAATCTTTTTCCTATTAGTGCACATTTTGCAAATGATTGTCTTGTATTTTCATTATTTTTGTGCATTATTTTCAGAAAAAGGCATTTTTGTGTCTACTTTTCGCTAATATGTAAATGTCCATATTAGTATTTTTATTCTAAAACTTGTGCTGCAAAACTTGGTCAAATGAAAATACTAAAGAAAAATTGTTTCTGTCCATATATAAATCTATATAATGTAAATAAAGTGATTCTGCATTAAAATCTCCAACCTTAAAATTCCCAACTACAATCCTTTCTGATAGTAAAGATGTCTGGTCTAGAAGGGTACCAAGTTTCAGCTTCATAGCTGGTGTTGAATCATTGTAATCATTTTAGGTATTTTATATGAGTCTCATTTCAGAGAAGAATTGTACTGAATTCTGTATCAAATTTCAGCTTTCTAACTGGTGAAGATCTCTTACAATTTTTTGTTTCATGTGAAAAACCATGTCAATCAGTCCCTTGTATTTGTATGTGTAAGTAACCATAATGACTGCCATAAAAATTACTGATCATAATTAGCAATGTTTTCTAATCCAAGAAATCTTAGCCAATAATACATTCTTGATTAAATCTAAAAAAATCAGATATGGTACAGTAAGAGAGAAAAGATAAAAGATTCTACATATGTACACACACACACACACACACACACACACACACACACACACACACACACGTTAAAGATACAAAGAAGGAATGCCTATTGAAACATGTCATCTGAACTCTTACTAAATGCTTGCGTTAAGACTACTTTTAAAGGTATTTTCCTGCCAATATGTACTGTCTTTATTCAGTCAAAAGACTTTTAATGTATTGGTTAACTGATTGCTCAGTGAAAAGCTGAATCCCTAAGCAAACAAAAAAATAACCCAGCAATAGGGAAAATGTAACAATAAAATAAACTCCACATGTTTATTTATTTGCTTAATTGTTTACATGAATAGGCTGTATCTTAAATCTAAAAAGTCTGTAGTCATAATACAGTGACAAAAAATATTCAACATAATAACATTGAAAATTTATTTTAAAACAGTACTTAAATAACTAGAAATAATAATAGTCACCAATTTGACTATTCGTGATATAATCACCAGAAGGAATAGCAGAATATTTTAGGAAAATAATCTTGATTCAGTTTGCATTCAGTTTAATGTAGTTGCTCAATAAAGTAAACATCTGCCATTTAAAAAAACCTTTAAGAAATTACATTCAAGGAATAGAGAAAGTCTACACACCCCTATTAAAATGCAGCATTTCTAGTTTTTTATTTTGATTTTTCCTCACTAACCAATTTCAGTTTGTTTTTCAATTGAATTGTGCCACTTATATGTAAAGGTCGAAAAAATTCTAAAATTATTTAGATCTTGATCTGATTTTTTTTACATCTCCAAACCCTGGCACTTTTAACAGGTATATAGACCATCTATGTCAGTAATGGGTTTCTACTGGTTCGCCCCAGTTCGGGCGAACTGGTAGTGGCGGTGGCAGGAGGGTCCGCCCACCTGCCCTGACATCATCACGGATGCTCTGTGCATGCATAGAAGGTTCTGCACATGTGCAGAGTTCCAAACAGTTCCAAACTGGTAGCGAAGGTAAGTAGAACCCACTACTGTTATATGTCCACTGTAAGATATCCTGTGGACATGGCAGAGCTTGCTGGAAAGATGAGGCCTTCCTTGATTTGATTTAGTTTTACCCATGGCCCATTTCTTTTCACTTTTGAGTCAACCTTGAGTGACTCTTCGTGACAGCCTGGACTAGTCCCTGCTGTTTTTTTGAGAAGATTTCAGAAGTAGTCTGCCATTGTTTCCTTTCTAGGGTTGAAAGAGAGTGACTGGTACAAGGGCACCTAGCTGGCCTTATACCTAAAATAAGTTTAGAACTCATGGCCTCTCAGTTTCTCATCTAGGCCAAAATAAGCCTGACAAGCTACAGAAAAAACAGAGCAGCAAAGAGGAGAAAGAGGGAGTATAGGTTAATAGTAAGCATTTATATGACTACAAGACTGTGTCATATACTGTTAGTTCTGTACATTAAGAACTTAGTAGCTAAGAATACACATTGTGAACTCTCTTGCAGGAAGTGGAAGAAACTGTATTATTGGCCTACCTTACAGGGCAGAGAAAAGGATTCCTGAAATACTGTATGTGAAACAGAGCTAATTAAAGAATGTTTAACTGAACAGCCATCTGTCCTTTAATCAAGTTAAGCACAGTCCTGTACTGTTCCACTATGCCAGCTGGATTCTGTCTAAATTACACCGGCATTGCGCCAATACTAGTGGGCTGTTTTGCTCATCAATTAAGCAATTACGTTTAAACTTTATGTCTCAAGGGAGCTTCAATATAGATGCCTCTTTTTTTTACCATAAAGGACATATAAGGTGGTCGATAGCTTCTTCCAATATATATCAAGTTACAAGTAAATCTGGAGTTTATTCTCAGTTAAATGAGGTTAGGATACAGGTGTGAATTTTTAAATAAGTTATCCTCATGCTTTTTAAAAAAAATCATTTCCTATTACAAATAATGTATCAAACCAAATTGTAAAACCTGCCTTTAATTCCTTAATTGAAGATCCATATTTACTGATGATCATGTTCTTGATTCTATTTCCTGTGCTTTCCTAAATGCTAGGCCTGTTTTGTTGTGGCCCATAAACCCGCCCTCTTGCTGGAAGGACCATGAAAAATGGACTTTCCTTAATCAGAGAATTGAAATCCATTTCATTGATCCTGAATGTAGATGTTCCCATTCTTCCACTTCATTTTCATTGTTTCTTAGAATGTTTCTTAGAATGTAATCCTAGGGCCCTTGGAGGTCCCCCATAACCCTTCAGGCATGTGTGAAATCAGTAATATTTGCCAGCCTGTGTTCAAAAATAATACAATATTAAAAATCTATCAAAAACAATTGAGAAGCAATAGCAGCAGCAAATGCATCCATTTTAATTTTGAATATGGTAAATGTTGATAAATATAACTTATATGAACAAATTCTTTTGGGATTCTCCCATAATTTTTAAAAGTGAGAAGAAATTCTGAGACAAAAAAAGTTTTAAGAAACACTGGTGGAGAAAATTCCAGGCTGAACTCCCAGGTATATTGACTTTACAGGGGGAACTGGAAAACACTATTGTGAATAAACATCATGGATAAGGAGATAAGTACCCACAAGGACCAATATGTTGTACATAGATAGTCTAGCAAGATTAGAAGGTTGACTGGCTGCAACTTCGTGCCTTCGAAATGTTGCTGCCTAAAGTACAAAGCCACTAGAAGCCACAGGAAACATCTGGTGGGAGGCTGCATGGAGTGATATGAATCAATTAATTTGCCTTCTGATAAACTTTTTTTAAGGGGGGGGGACTTGGCCTCCCCAACCATGGCAGCCCTTTGGGAGATGAGTCTTCCATCCCTCCAAACTGCTCGCTCTTTCTTTATACATTCAGGTCAGTAATCAATGTCTAGTATAGTATTTCTGGCTGGGGAATCCAAACATCTTAGAAGTCCCTGAGTTTAAGAAATATTAGTCTAGTACAGCGGTGGGTTGCTCCCGGTTCTGTCCGGTTCTTGAGAACCGGTAGTAAAAACAACGGGAGGCTCTGCCCACCCGCCCTGACATCATAAAGTACAATCTGCATGCACAGAAGCGCACGCATGTGTATGAGTGAAGTGTGTGTCTGCGCGCGGTCCCATTGCAAACCGGTAGTAAAAGTAAGCAGAACCCACCCCTGGTCTAGTAAGAGCTGGAAAAGCATTAGGAATAACTACCTGTAGAATTTTTGCAAAGGTACCTGATAGCAGCATTTTTGGTCTAGAGGAAATTACTATGATTTAGATTTTGTTTTATTTTCAAAAAAAAGTGTGAATAATTCTATTACAAATGTGCACCCCTGCGTGCTTGAATGTTACAATAGTTTTTTGGTATGAAGATCAAATATTTGTGAAACTTTCTGGTACAAAACAAGGATATGTGCAGCATAAGGTTAGTTTGGAAATCTTGCCAACACTTGCCAGAAAAAGAGTGTCAATTAATCATAAAGCTTTCCTTTCTTTTCTCTCTCTCTCTTTTTTTACACTCGTGTAATTTAACAGATTTTTTTTTTTAGAAAATTGCTGAGGCGGATGTGTTAGTTTCTTTCCTCCTAGCAGAACTCACCATTTTCAGCCTAAGACAACGCTGCCTTAAATAGAACTGTTGAATTTCTCTGCTTCCTGAAAATGCCATAGCACATTTAAAACACTTTTTTTTAAAATATAAAGAAATATTCATTTAATATTTTAAAAAAACCTTTGGTCATGCCAACCTGCAGCTACAATACTATCTTCTAAACTAGCTATGCTATGTACCTAGGGGCTTCCAAACTTAAAAATATTTCAGAAAAAAGCAAGAAAACCTGAAATTTTCAGCAAGAAACAAATGTTACAGGGAATAACCCTGTTTAGAATAGCAATGCTGTAGAATTCCATCCTGGATATTGTTAACTTGACTTCCGAAAAGAAATACAAATGAGATAAATAAAGAGTTATGTAATTCAAAAGATGGCAGTATCTCCTAGAGCAAATAGCATCTTGACACAAGTTTTAAGTAATGTTTGTAGAAATTTAAACTCAGTATATAGATTGTCCGACACCAATTCTTCAACAAATTTCTTCCTACACATGTACTAGTGTTTCCTGCACTGATGTAATTATAATTTTAGGCTTGCATGAACTAATAGACCATTTGAAATCTAAATTCATATGTCTCCTCCCACATGATGATTCTTCTTGCCAAGTGTCTGTGGATGAATCAGAGTTTCTGATTATCTAAGTTAAAGCAAATGTATAGTGAAGTGAATAGTAATGTATTTGCAGTAATGGGAAAAATTTTCCATTATGTTTGGGATCTTCTGGCCCAGGGAATCCGAAATTGGAAAGCAGCAAAATGAATTGGAAATGTTATTTTGGTTATACTGTAATTTTTAGTGTTCTTTTGGTGCTGTTGCTATTGAAAGAACATCAGAATGTTTCTGGTGGTTAGATGAAAGATGCAACTAATCCACTGCTTGTAACGGTAGTCAGTGATTCTTCCCCTACTCCTCTTCTTCTATTGATTGCCCAGGCAAGGTAGGAAAGCTTCAGTTTCTTCCTACAAGATGAGGCATTCAATGGTGCTGGGTTTTTTGGTATCGGGTAATGAAATGATGTAGTCATCATTAATTCACCTTAGTTAGTT